TGCCCTGCTTCCTGGACTCTGAGACACGGTACTGCAAAAAAAAAAAAAAAAAAAAAAAAAACAACGAACGCCAGATGAAATTCTCCTCAGGATGATTCTTAACCAAAGTCCTGCGAGCTGCAAGAATGAAACGGTTCTACCAAGAACGTCTGTGGTGACAAACTTTCCCCATATTGGGGAAACTTTTACGAAATCTGGGATGTTGACACGTGACAGTAATGGGTAGAAACGAGTTCTCCACGTTGGAGAACTTGACGGTGAAGCTTGATCACATGTTACCTCAGTGTTTAAGGGCAGACTGCTGAGTCTTTGAGCTCATTCTGAGCGTGAGCCACTAACGGTGCGACCCGTTAGTCAGCCAAACTGGTTGGAGCGTTGATCGGAAATGTTTTCTTTCGTCTAAGATTGCACAAGGGTTTTTGAATCAAATGTTTGACTGGACCATACCTCAACACACCTTTTTAAGTTTTGTTTTTTTTTTTTTATCGTAATGAAGTTAGCATACTTTACATTAATGTGAGCAGATTTATCTGGATGTGTGTAATAATCCATTTTATTGATTTAATTGAGGAACTAGTGTCTTTAGAAAGTTTTTATTTCTCCATAAACAGGGAAAAATAATAAAAAAATTATCTAAATCTCTGTTTTTGTGTCATTTAGTGGATTTGCATTTTTTGCTAGAAGTTAACATTTATCACTTACTAGACATTTCACATTATATTTTTAAGTAAAAAGAAACGTCAAGTTTGTACTGGCCAGAGAAAGTATTTGAAACACACTGTAAGATTAAGACATATGTTTTTTTTTTTGTTTTTTTTTGTAGAAAACATAAAATAAATTCCAAACAAACCAGGATCCTAACATAATGCTTCATTTTCTCCTTCTCAGTGTTTGAGATACCAGTGCACTGAATGTAGAAATAAAAATAAAAAAAAGGCAAGGATGCATTTTTCGAAGTGGAGGGTGGGATGACAGCAGCAATATATACAAGAAAACCCCCTTCAAAGTGCTCTGGACTTCACACAGGAAATTGAATCGTTTGCCAATATCACAATGACTCAAAACGCACAACTAGACCTTAAGGATAACTAACTAAGTGTTACGCTGCTAATGCCCTATTTCTAACATTTTTACCTACCCTAAAAGGAACATTCAGGTGTAATTTCTGTTTGGTTCCCTATCTAACAAGATTTTTTTGTTATCTCTTATATTTGCTAGCTAAAATAATAATTAAAAAAGAAGGAAAAAATTGCTCAAAGTCTGACCTGACCCAATTTTATGGTGTCAAACGGTGAATAGAACAACTAACTGTTCATGGTCTCATTTAAGATTGAACCCTTTTTAAAAAAAAAACAGAAAACCCTTACACCCTTCCTTCTTTCTCATGAGATAATTAATCCTAGGCCCTCAGTATTTCCAGCTCTTAATAAAACACACGCTGACTCAACATTGCCTCAAATACAATTCAAGAATCCTCTGCGTCCTTCTTGTTCCCCCCCCCCCTCGCATCTTTAGCGTGGCTGCAACAGAAAAACCTTCCTCTGACTGCATCCAGAGAGATGCAGGAGCACCGTGTGTCCTCTGCCCGTCGGTCCACCCCGCATTTAAAGGGGGGAGCATTCAGCTGGGTCCTCCCTCCACTCCCCCCCTCCCTTAGACACACTTTCTGTCTGACACGCTCACTCAGGACTCCCCTGTGAGCGAGCCGGGGCAGGTGAACTCAGCACTGGATCTGAGAGAGATGCTGAGAGGAAGGAAAGAGGGAGAGGGGGGAAATCTGTGTGTGTGTGTGTGTTTATGAATTTGTGTGCACGCTGCTGCATCGCTGAGCTACAGAGACCGGAGGCGAGGAGAGCTGGAGTGTTTGTCCTTGAGACCGACTGACTGCAGCTGAAAAGCAGAGCCACTGACCAGCCGACCAGCCAGTGGATGAAACTGACAGTAAGTACCAAGCAGAAGCTGTGAGATGAGAAAACCAGAAGGAGCAGATGTGGGTTTTATTGCAGTTGCAGCTAATGTACTAATGTCTTTTTTTTTTTTTTTTTTTTTTTTTTGCTCTTGTCTGCTTAGAAACAGTCCGGTGTGGTCTTTGAGCGGAAACGGGCGTTTGTGTGTGTGTGCGTGTGTGTGTGTGTAAATATCTACTTTGAACCCTGGTGAACTCTGCCTTTTTATCCCATCCACACTTAATTTAAAACCTTCATGGGTGACTTTGTGAGCACTTCAGCAAATTGTTCAGCTGCTAAACACATCTGCAGCAGCATTTGTCCAAGTGCGCTGTATCTAAAAAAAAAAAAAAAACTGTCCACCAAATATTATTGTCCAGAACATTTTTCTCTTCCTCGTCTGTTTCCGTTGATGGATTGATTGTTATGCATGTGTAATCGGAAGGCAATATGTGTAATTTTGCCAATGATTAACTTTTGATTGGTGCACCTTTGGTGTGGCTGGGAATTAGTAGGCCATGCTGGGCAGGCTAACTGGGTGAGAGGATGACCAGAAGGTGGGGGTCCCTGAAAGAGCACGATGAAGAGGGGACAGGAGGAAGAGCCAAGGCGAAAAACTGAAACATCCTAGTGGCACACTATGAAGAATCTAATCAATCTAATGACATGAGGCAGAGAAGGAGGGACGGAAAAGAAACACGGATTGGATAGATAGGAATAAAGGAACAAGGGTAAATAAAAAGTATAAAAAAAATTTAAAATGATCAAAAAGTACATTTATTTCGGTTATTTATTTAAAATAGGGCATTAATTTACGTAGAAACTGATTTATTTTAAGTATTTATTGTTTTTCATTTGAATGATTATGATTTAGAGCTAATAAAAGAATACAAGGTTTGTTGAAAAAATAGGAATAGTGCATAAAAGGACATATTTTTTCATAGCATAGTGACTTTGTCATCATTTTGTTAGCTGCAAAACCACGGGAAAGACTGCCAACTTGAGAGTTTGGAGTGATGTAAGATAAGCATATTAGTGGAAGGTTTAGTGGAAGGAAAAAGTCAAGTTTACAAAAAGGATGGACAAGCAACAGGGATAGATAACTGCAGTCTGGGATTGATATTGTGAAGAAAGACATCTCTAAGAGTTTGGGGAATATTCGCCATGAAATGATGTCAGAAGGGTTTTTACTTGGGGAAAACAGAGGAAGTGCTGGACTGCAGCCTAAATACAAACAGAGTAATAACTGAGGAATTGGTTCATATCTGTAGAGTGTAGGGAAACTTCTCAGTTTGCTGACATCTATGTATTCTAAATTCTTTTTTTTTATTAGATTTTGTTGTGTTATATTTTTTAAGAATTTAATTTTGGATCTTTATTATTTTTTAACTAATTCAATTCAGTTTACATAGCACTAATTCACACATCATCTCAAGCCACTTTACAAAAAACGTCACTTCAGTCCATAGTACATACACTACAACTGAACATAGTTATCGAAGAGTTGATTAAGTTCAGGTCATCATTTTTATTTTTTTTCTTTCCCCAGTTCCACTATTCAAATTGGTCACTCTTCCTGCATGAGTATCTAGTGAGATATGACAGATTGCACTGTGCTGTTGACTTTACAGCAATCCTTCATACTCAACATGCACGCAGCGACAGTGGAGAGGAAAAACTCCCCCTGAACAGGAAGAAACCTCCAGCAGAACCTGGATCAGTGCGAGCGGCCATCTGCCACAACGGACAGCTGGGGGTTTGAGAAGAGAGAGCAGATAGATGTAGGAGGACTTTCTATGCTAATGAAACATTTGAGTTTCACTTTTTTCAGCTGATTTGTAGAAATTAATTTACCTTTCAGTGATAATCTAGTCTAATGTATAGATGCAGCTCTTACTACCTTTTTCTGGAGCAGGAAAATATCCACCAAAAGATGAGCAGTGGAGCCAGTCATCAAAAAGGTGGGCAGACGGAAAAGGAAGCCAAGGGCTGGGCGCATAAAAGTAGCCTTATTTTCCTCTGTCTCTGTGTGTTTTCTGTTGACTTGTTCAGCCATGACATGCTGACTCTGAGCCAGAGGGCTAAATTTGCCACCTGTGGAGATAAAAGTGATATGATGGGTTTGGGAGCGCGTACGTTGTCTCTGTGCGAGTGCGGGTATGTGAAAGTGTCTGGAAGAGCTCCTGACATCAGCATTAAACACGTGCGGTGCTGACTCCCAGGATTGTGTTTGTGTGTGTGTGTGTGTGTGTGTGTACTGGACCCGCAGTGGTGGCTCCTCACCTGGGACGAGTCTGGGAACCAGGTGCAGGAGTGAAAAAGCAGCTCCGATAAGTAAGCAAGAAGCCTGACACGCTGGCATTATCCTCTTGTTGTAGTGAAAATCAATTGCGCGTACTTATACTTATAGGTTGTACTTTTTAAATTAACTACTTTTTTTAGCCATACTTTGCCTACATCAAATCCAGAAAAAACATGCAACACACAGACTGAGTAGCAGAAAGCCTGACAGAGGCACTTTCTTGCTCTGCAAGGAGATGTGGAAGGTGAACTTAAGCCCATTTTTCTGACTTTTACAACCTCTAACAGGTTTTCTTCCAGCATGTCCTCTCGTTAGCTCTATCCAAATTCTCATCAACTCTATACAATTTCCTTTACCCTGCTGGAGACTACTTATAGACTGTTTTCAGTACAGGAGAATGACTGATTTTAAATTCTTTTTATACCTCATTAATTCCCTTTCCACACTCAAGAACTTACAGTCTTCATTCTTAAGGCAGCTCTTGCAATCTCATTGGGGTGCTTGACTGAACTTTAAAAGTTAGGAGCCCCAAGATTTATAGTGGGGGAGCCTCCTTCTGAGTAACAATGTTTTAATCTAATGTGTAGAAATAACTGTGGGGGTAAAATGTTAACGTCAATGCAGATTTAAGAAATGCTACGTGCGCCACATGTTTTAACATCTGCATACAAAACGTTTGTGGTTATAATAATTACGACGACAAACCCCTAATGTATCACTGATGGCACACACATCTTTGAGAAAACAAGGTAATATTTCTATTTTTTAATTATTTTGTGAAAAGCAACCATTTTAGAAAACATAGTTGTCTTTGGAAACACTTCTAATATTTAGTGGGTGAAGAGAAGTGAGTATAATTTGCAGGCGCAAATCGGTTTTAGACCAGATTTCGCTGAGAAGCCGACGGGCCCTGTTGACAGTGAAATGCGACTCCGGAAATGTTCCGCCGTATGAAGAAAGGGGGCAGAAGAAGATGACCAACAGATGACCATTTAATCCAATTCTGCTTGTTGAGAATATGAAGGGTATTTGCCGCCGTAATCCATATTATGTTGTTAGGAGAAGCTTGGTTACATAGACTAATCACCCCCGAGGGCCTCCAGACGGGCAACTGCCACAGGCAATATGTCCGGACCTCACGACAGAGCTGAGGGTTAAACTCTGGTGAATCATCATCATCATCATCATCATTTGCGATCAAGCTGCACTTGTTTTGCCCCTTCAGTAGAAATTATTTCTCCTCTAGGGGGCAATCCAGTCAAGTTATTACAGAACGAGCCCGAAGCTGGAAAAAAAAAAAAAAAGGATTCATCAGTGTGCTTCCTGGTCTCAGATAGTCATTAAACGAGCTTAAATTTCTCCACATGAAATCCAGCCTCCCTGAAAGTTTTCCTGTGCGTATAAGGTTCCCTGCATTTCCTTTGCAGCGCGGCCTATATGATGCACAGAGAAGTGAAAACCATTTGAGGGCCATTGACCCACCGTGGAGAAGCAGCGGCAAGTCCCAGCAGATCTGAGTGACATTTCAGTGGTTTTGTTTCTTTAGGCTCCTCTCAGAGGGTTTCTAGGGTTTCTGCCGTGGGTGCATGTGTGAGCGAGGGAGATCTGGATCCCCATGCCGTGTGCCGCAGATCAATGTGAAACCAATCTGGGTCCGAGTGCTCGTCTGTCGACCGGTTTGTGGATCATTTCCCTCCAATCCATCTATTTAGAGCCACCAAACAGAAAACCGTATAGATTCGGAGATATTGTTTATTCTCACACTGAATGACCTGTTTGTTTATTTTTATTTTATTTTATTTTTTTTCCTGACTGCCCAGGCACCTCAGGACCTCTCCTAACTCAAATACTTTATTTTAAAACTTTTATAAAGCCTTATTGTTATTCACTGGCCTTCAAACCTGTCTAAACTGATGTCTTTACAGCTCACGTTTTTTGAAATGTTCTTCATGAATATATTTACTTCAACTTATTTTTTTTTTACTTTTTGTATCTCCGTACACTTCCAGGAAATATTCAAAATCGTTTGTGGGGCGGTGGAACGGTGGTGTTCGATAGTCTTTTCTCACCGTCCTGGTAGCTGATAGATGGCTAAGAGTCAGACATAAACTAAGCAGATTACGCTCTTTAGTTTGGAGGCTAATGCCAAAGTGTTTGGTGGAGCCGGACTTGCAGGGTGACTGTCCGGTTTGGGAAGCAAATGCGACAGCTGTCCCCGGAGGATGAGAATCAGTGGCTGTGAGTTTAGGGATTCAGGAAAAAAGGGTGAAAACACACCCAGCCACCCACACACACACACACACACACGCACACACACACAAACATTTATCCTTTTTCTGCAGATGGCAGTGTATACATCTGGTATATGGGGTCAATAGCTGGCAGCTGGGTGCCCTGTTACAGACAGCTTCCCTCCGGAGCCGGAATTGAGCTTCTGTCTTCAGCTCAGCCTTGGTGTAAAAATATTGTTGATGTCTAGCAGCAACCATCCTTGTTGAATTTCATTCGTTGCATTTAGAGTGTGTCAGTGATGTTTTTTTTTTCTGCACTTCATGTCAGTATGATGCATAGTTTGTCATTCTTCCCCTATTATTTATTTTACTTCTTTTCTCTGTCTCTCTCTCTCTCTTTGTTTTGCCTGGTTTAGGTTGTTATTTCCTCAACAGTATGTTTATAGCTACTAGTCAGACTTT